ATGGGAACAGCCGTGGAGAGCATTCTGTTCAGATAGGGCGGGAGCTTCCCAGAAACTCTTAAACACAAGGCTAGAAAGATGAAGGGTGCGTCTGGATTCCAGCGACAGCCAGTTTAGTTCTTTTACCATATCACAATGGTGAGTCCTGTAATTGCATTGTAGCACAAATCGGCAGATCAAGTTATACAATGTATTGAGTTTATTAATGTGGGATTGCAGTGCAGATGCATATACTACATCCCCATAATCAATGATTGGCATCAGCATTTGCTGTACAATCTTTTCCTTTACTGTAGGGCTTAGGCAGGATTTGTTTCTGTACAGGGCACCTAGTTTTGGATAAAGTTTAGATGCAAGTTTTTCTATGTGGAGGCCAAAAGGTAGATTGGTGTCGAACAACATACTCAAGTATTTGAAAGAGAGGACTGCGGTCAGTGTGCTATTTGAATTTGTTTTGATGGATAGGTGGGAAATATGTAATTTAGGTACTGTTCCAAAGATCATTGTGACAGTTTGGTCACTGTTTAGGAAGAATTTGTTTTTTGCAATCCACTTTTCTACCTCTGTAAACTGGTCTTGGAGCACAGCCTCAAGCTGCGGTAGATCGGATTTGCTTGCATAGATCACTGTGTCACCTGCGTACATGTGTACATTTGAGGATTTGCAGACATTAATTTGGCATAGATTGGTTGTTAAATGGTTGCATGAGTCAAATTACCCCAAGTTTAATACATTAGGCTGTCTTATTTTAAAAAGTATATACATGGGAAGGGTTAGTCAGGGAATCCTGACAGATATACGTGTTACAATGTAACTTGCGTTAATGTTGTAAAAAAAATGGTTTGGAAATAGCAAAGTGCTACTTGTACTTATTGCCCTATAACATTCAAAAAAAAGTTAAGAACATGTTAACATTGGGTATTTCTAAACTATTTAGCATGTGTTTTTTTTGGCGTAGGTATATGCGTAACAGACTTTGGGTGTCACAGTTAGAAAAGGTGTGGTTTTTTTACATTTATTCATCATATTTTTCATTTTTTTATAGTAAATTATAAGATATGATGGAAATAATGGTAACGTTAGAAAGACCATTTAATGGCGAGAAAACCGGTATATAATGTGTGTCGGTACAGTAAATGAGTAAGAGGAAAATTACAGCTAAACACAAACACCGCAGAAATTTAAAAACAGCCCTGGTCAAAAAAATGATAAAACAATTGAAAAGTGGTCTGGTCACTAAGGGATTAAACCAAACTCTAATCTTAATAAAGCAAGCGGCACTTCCTTATCGGAGCTTTATATTTATATTTATATTAAATTTTATAATATTTCCCCAAAAATTTAAACCAATTTTACATCTGTAATTCAAAAGAATCTTGAAGATATCTTAAGTAAGATCAAACAGTTAGAACTATAAATTATTATTAAAAATTTAGATCACCTAATAGGGCGGATAACATTTTAACAAATAAATTGAAGAAAAAAACAATAAAGGAAAGAATCTCTTTAATAAAAGTTAAGGATAAACCATATATAACCCCAAAAGACATAGCAAATGCGTTTGCTGAATTTTATAAACAACTTTATAATCTTACTAAGAAAGCTTCAAAAGAAGATATTAACAACTATTGAAAAATATAAATCTACCTGTAATTCCAAGTGAAATAATGGATAGATCAAATCAACCAATAGAAATAGCAGAAGTAAAAAAAAAAGCAATGGAAAAATTAGCACAAAATAAACACCAGGTCCAGCAATTTATTTTACAAACTTCATAAAAAAGAAATTCTGTATCATTTAGTTACAACTTTTAATGAGATAGTGAATAAAGGTACTTTCCTCAATGAAATGTTAAAAACAAATATCTTACCTATATTAAAACAGAATTAACTAGTTATTGTCCTATCTCATTAATACATGTTGATATAAAGCTATTTTCTTCAATACTAGCTAAGCGCTTGAAGAACATCTTGTTAGTTACCATTCATAAGGATCAGATTGGTTATGTTCCGGGAAGATAATCTTGCAATATTAGAAGGATTATTAGCATTTTAAACTCGGCTGAAAGAATATGTACTCCCCTCCTTACCCTATCGTTAGACGCAGAGATAGCGTGCGACAGGGTTGGATGGGAGTACATGTTCGCAACATTATGGTGTGAGTGATTTCTGCTCACAGCAATAAAATCTTTATATACCGTTCCAACAACAAGGGTGGTGGGTATGAACCTATGTTAAGATTGGTTTGATTTAAAAAATGGAACTAGACAGGGCTGCCCACAATCCCCTATTTTGTACATCCTGTCGATAGACCCCCTTGCTACAAAAATTAGAGAAAACAGAAGAATAAAGGGGTACCCAATTAAAAACCAACAGTCAAAACTCTGCCTAGATGATGTTTTTATTGTTTTGGCTGATCCAAATAAATCACTGAAGTATATGTTAGAAGAATTAGATAGATTTAGTTACATCTCTGGTTACAAACTAAATATGAGTAAAACTGTCGCTCAACTTTTTAATTTAGATAAAAATGAATGGGATCGAATTTGTAACAGTTATAGTTTTCATTTTTCAAAAAGGCCCTCTTTTCAGTGCTTTTGAAGGGAGGATGATCCAGAGCGCACAGCCCTCCGGTGAACTGGACCTGGAGCAAATCCGCATACAACGCACAACATACACAGAGGGATGACTGACGTCCAAATGGATAGACGAATCCAGCAGATCCCTTATGAGCTTGTTGAAGTGAATGGTCTTTATGACGCACACTACCTGCTACTGCAACCTTCAAATACCCTGCTTCAATTGTATTTGATGAGATCCTACCAATCTTTTTTACATTTTCTTCTTTATTTTCTTTTTGAATATTCAGAAGAACTTACATATAGAGACTCTTTTTTGCTATTTTTTCCACATTTTTGTTTCCTGCAGTATTTAATTATTTTTTGTCCTTTTTTGAGACTCTGCTACCCTTTTAGGCAGGACTAACTATATTCCTTATAATTAGTACAGAGTATGGTAGGATGTATCACAAACATATTTCTCTTAACTTCAATCCATAATATGCCCAGGATCCAGGTTTGATGAACTCTCCAAAAACATTTTTTTGAGATTTTGTTCTGATTTTTGTACATAATTTTTCATGATCAAGTCTTTCGGATAAACTATTGTTGTTTTTTTATTTATATATGTGATGTACAGAATATAAACTCTACTTGTACAGTCAATAGTGTATATAATATGAATTCAGGTTTTTCTGACCAATGAAATATTTGTGTATATAGATGAATTTTAATGTGAAGTAATGCACTTATTGATTGTCTTTAATATTTTTTGTTTACACTATCCATTAAATATTTTTTTATTATTTGAGCAACATTTGTAGTGAGGTATCATTACTTTTTTTTTTAAATGATTATACTGTTCCTTCATCAATATCAGAAAGTTTAGATTTGCTTTTTTTCCAGCAAAATGTTAAGCATAAGATTTAGCTCAAATTATCATTTGTAACGTATGTGTTTGCAGCTTTACCTGACATGCCTTCTGTCTGATGTTTCCATTTTTAATTATGCAGTAAAAAGTGCAGATGGATTTTGCCAATATCTATTTAACCATTTGAGTGGAAATTCTGAAATACGCCTTGTTAAAGTATGTGCAGTGTAGCAGCAGTTTTTGTGCCTTTGATAGAGGAACCAATTAGTACTTACAATATGTAATATTATTCAGGCTATCAATCAATTAATGGACAAATGGTAATTTATGGAATGAAAACTAAACCCTATAGCTGAATTTACTGAACAGCTGTTTGGTAGAAATTCAGCGTGAACAAGAGTTGCGTTTACCCTTTTAAAATGCAGCCATCATTGCAAACTGGAACAAAACTCTCTAGACATTTTTTTTTAATTTGTAACTAGAACAATTTTTGCATATTATTGATGATAGCATCTGTCTAGCATTATATTGAGGATATTGGGGTCATACCAGGAACTCTTAATACAGTATAGCCTAAGGTTATCAAGTAATACTTCTTAGCAAGATGAATTAACAGCCTAATTACACAATAGGATATGTGTCTTGTGCATTTTCCAAGAAACAATGCATTCATTCAGACCTCTAAAGAGTTTGGATGTTTACCAACTTTCAGATAACAGAGTCACAATGTTGCTCTCGTAGAACCTGAGTTGTTGGTGATGTGAGAGGATATTAAAGTCTATTCTGCCCACTTGATTTCTGACACTACCAGCCTTCACCCTGCACCCTGCTAGTCAAACAAATATGCTTTTCATGATGCTTTTTATTATTTAATGGTGACTGAAGGATACAGACATGACTAGACAATTGTATTTCACAAAAGTCTGCTTTTTCAACCACATTTTCAGAAAAAGTTAGATTATATCATATCAGTGATGACTGCTGGAAGTTGGCTTCTATCCAGGCTATCAATAAAACACACAAAACGCTGAGCATGCTCCTTGACAGCTGGCTTGAAAAACCTCTTCAAATGTGTACTGAGCTAGTGCATGGCAAGATTTTCAATTCTTGCAAACAAATTTTTTTTTCAATACCTCTGACATTTGCGAATGTGCCAGCTCAGTTTTTCTAAGAGTCAATTGTGAAACCCATGGGAGTGTACAGTGATCCGTCCACCATCTTTCTTAAAAGTTATCAATAGCTACTGGATTAAAGGAACACTATAGCAATGGGAATACAAAACAGTATTCCTAATGCTATAGTGTCCTTGTCCCTAATTTAACATGCTTCCCCCCACCTCTGAGCATGAAAGGGTTAAAACACTTTCTACACTTAACGCTTTCCTTTGGTGCTTGTTGAGTCTCCTCCTTTTATGACATCATGGCAGTCGGTAGGTCTAATGGGCATGCACAGTGAGTGCCGAGTGTGCCTTAAAGCTTCCCCCGAGGTAATGCTTTCCAATGGGTAAATTGAAGATGTTAGACATCTTCATGCAAAACATGAGGATGTCCATCATCATTCCACAAAGTAAAACTCCATTATTATTATTAGTGACTGTCTGGTTAAAAGCCACTAGAAGTTGATGTAAACATTGCAGTTTCTCTGAAACCACAATGTTTTACATTGCAGGGTTTAGGGAACAGGGACACGGTACCCAGTTCACTTTAGTGAAGTGGCCTGGGTGCCAATACTGTTAATTTAAAAGGGAAAGAATATCATTTGGTTTACATATATTTAGGAACACTGGTTCTAAGAAAATGGTTTTAGATCTTGAAGAATAGGCATCCCTTTGCTCTAAAGGGGGGAAACCTTGCACTAATACTATTCCGGGGACTGGGCATTGCTCAAAATGGCTTCCATTTCTAAATGGATGTCTTTTTAAAACTAAACTCTTCATATCCACACCCTCAAATAGTCCTCCTACATCTATCTCCCTGCACATGAATGATACACCTATTGCTCCAATCCCTCAAGTTTGTTGCCTTGGAGTTACTCTCGACTCAGGTATTTCCTTTTTTCATCACATCCACGTGTTTCCAAATACTGTAACTTCCACCTTAATAATATTGCTTTCTAAATCAAGATACACTAAGGCACTTGTTAATGTATTCATCATTTCCAGACTTGACTATTGCAACACACTACTCATGGGCTTTCCGATGACCAACAATGCCCCTCTTCTGTACAGTCTGTAATGCATGCTGCAGGCTCGTCTTCCGGACTGTCCGCTACTCCCACTATGTCAATCCTTACATTGTCTTCCTGTGCTCTTCAGGAACTAATCTGTGCCCTCAATACCTCCACTACTACATTTCTTCTTTATTCATCAGATATGTACTTTATTTTTATTTTCATTCTGTCTTTTTTGTTTTATTACTCCTGTTTACATTAAAAATCATCTGCCTCTGGATTTGTTGGACTCTGCCAACTTAGCCTCGTGTACTCAAATAGCCAAGATAGGATATCACACCCTGTTCAACTCCATAGATCTACAGATACACATATTTTGGAACCAACCACTTTAAAGAAAACAAACACAGAAAGTATGAGAACTCTGAGAATAGACAAAAATTCAGAGAAACCTTAGTTTGCCCTTATGTTAGTCCCCCGCTCAGGTTTCACAACCACTTAAACGAGGTTCAGCTCCACCCTCTAATGCTGTTAATTAATGACAACCCTTTAAAATGGGACAATTGTAGCCCTATCTTTTAGTGCATTCAGAAGGATCTATTCCCATAATATGTTGTTATTTTTGTTGTGTGCTAGTCCCTACAAAACCAACAGATTTAATTTTTTTTTTTTTTTATGCAACAAAAGCTATATTTAATGGATTAATTCCAGCAATTTCCACCAATCGCCACCCCTACTGCTGCTCGAGCTAATTCTTCTTTATAAGCCCCAGCAGCCCACCCCCTCCTTGCTGCTGGGGATAATAAAGAAGAATTAGCCTGAGCAGCAGTAGGGGATGGGGATTGGCAGAAAGTTTCAGCTGACCACATTCAGCCCATCGCATCCGTCATTGCCAGCATTAATTGGTATGGCTAAGGAAGTGTAACCTCTGCTCTAGCCATGCCTTCAGTGAGAAGCTTGACTATTGTTGGCTAGGGACCTCATTCATTGATACATGACACAAAAAGTATTTAACACTCAATGGAGGGACAGTGCCAGGGGACTCCAGACACTATAAACTATTCAGTTATAGTGCCTACCGTGTGCCTGTTACTATGTATCCCTTTATGCCACAACCAAGGGAAGTGGGAAAGAAACAGAGGAGGGGCACTTGAATACATAGAATTAATACACAACTCACCCTCAAAACAGGAACTCTACCTGATTACAAGGAAGGAAGAGGACCTTCATACTTATTTAATGAGTCAGTAGTTACATAGTTACATAGTTACATAGCTGAAAAGAGACTTGGGTCCATCAAGTTCAGCCTACCTCACATTTGGTTTTTGCTGTTGATCCAAAAGAAGGCAAAAAAAAAACAGTTTGAAGCACAATTTTGCAACAAGCTAGGAAAAAAATTCCTTCTTGACCCCAGAATGGCAGTCAGATTTATCCTTGGATCAAGCAGTTATTACCCTACATTGAAAGATTATATCCTTGAATATTCTGTTTTTGCAAGTATGCATCAAGTAGCTGTTTGAACATCTGTATGGACTGATAAAACCACTTCTTTAGGCAGAGAATTCCACATCCTGATTGTTCTTACAGTAAAAAAACCTTTCCTTTGCCTTAGACGAAATTGTCTTTCTTCCAGTCTAAACGCATGGCCTCGTATCCTACGTAAAGTCCGGTTTGTGAATAGATTTCCACACAATGGTTTGTATTGGCCCAGAATATATTTGTATGATGTTATCATATCCCCTCTCAGGCGACGTTTTTCTAAACTAAATAGGTTTAAATTTGTTAACCTTTCTTCATAGCAGATATATTCCATTCCTTTTATTAATTTTGTAGCCCGTCTCTGCACTTTTTCTAGTGCCATAATATCCTTCTTTAGAACAGGTGCCCAAAATTGCACAGCATATTCAATATGGGGTCTTACCAGTGATTTTTAAAGAGGCAAAATGATATTCTCGTCCCGAGAATAAATGTGCTTTTTCATGCATGACAATACCTTACTAGCCTTGGCCACTTCTGATTGACGTTGGACATTGTTGCATAGTTTGTTGTCTATAACAATTCCCAAGTCCTTTTCGTGTGTTTGAGTGCCCAGTCCCCCAGTCTATCTAAATCCCTCTGCAGCAAAGTAATATCTTGCTCACATTGTATTATTTTTTGTGTCATCTGCAAATGCTGAAACATGACTTTCAATGCTGTCTTCAAGATCATTTATAAACATGTTAAATAGAAGGGGTCCCAGAACAGACTCCTGAGGGACACCACTTGCCACCTCTGTCCAGCTTGAAAAATTACCATTAATGACAACTCTTTGTACTCTGTTTTTAAGCCAATGTTCTACCCAAGAACAAGCATTTTCATCAAGACCGATTTGCTTGAGTTTGAACACTAATCTATTGTGTGGAACTGTATCAAATGCCTTGGCAAAATCCAAATAGATCACATCCACGGCAACACCCTGATCTATACTTCTACTTACTTCTTCGTAGAACGCAATTAAGTTAGTTTGACATGACCTGTGCTTCATAAAACTGTGCTGATTTTTGCTGATAACCATGTTCTTCTCAAGGAATTCTTGAATATTATCCCTTAATAACATTTCAAATATTTTACCAGCCACGGAAGTTAAGCTCACAGGTCTATAATTTCCAGGCAAGGATTTTGAACCCTTTTTGAATATAGGAACCACATCTGCCTTCCTCCAATTCTCCCGAACACTTCCTGAAAGAAAAGAATCTTGAAAGATTAAAAACAGAGGTTAACTTATTTCTACACTTAGTTCCTTAAGTACACATGGATGGATACCGTCAGACCCTGGAGCTTTGTTTATATTAACTTTCTTTAGTTGCTGCAGCACCTTGTCTTGAGTTAACCAATTACAATTATTCTGCAAGTTTTTAGTAGCAATCATTTGCACATCTATTGCCATGGGTTCTTCCTTAATATATACGGAGGAGAAACAGTTATTTAAAATTCCTGCCTTTTCCTGGTCTTCATTAACTAACAACCCCGTTTCAGTTTTTAGTGTACCTACACTTTCATTTTTGGGTTTTTTAGAATTTATGTACTTAAAAAATGCTTTGGGGTTGGTTTTGCTCTCTTTAGTTATCATTATTTCATTTTGAAGTTTAGCAAGTCCAATTGCCTTTTTGCACGCATTATTTGCTTCATTATATCTTTTATAAGATGCATCTGATTTGTCCAATTTAAATGCTTTAAATGCCATTTTCTTATTTTTAATCTTGTGTTTTACTTCTCTACTAAGCCACATTGGTTTTAATTTGTTTCTTTTATATTTATTTCCCAATGGTACATACTGAGAAATGTACCTTTCTAATATTTGTTGGAAGAAGATACATTTATCCTCAGTGCTCTTTTCACTAAAGAGTTTATGCTAGTCAATATATTGTAAAGCTTCCCTTAACTTATTGAAATTGGCCTTTTTAAAATTATATGTTTTAGTATTCCCCATGTGCTTTTGTTTTATTGAGTTTATTTCAAAGGACACTATATTGTGATCACTATTTCCCAAGTGCTCACCTACTTGAATGTTGGTCAAAAGATCAACGTTGTTTGTTAAAACCAGGTCCAGACAAGTGTCCATTCTAGTTGGTGCTTGTACAAGTTGTGACATGAAGGTGTCATTTAACAAGTTTAAAAACCTAATTCCCTTTGCTGAGCTACTAGTCCCTCTGTCCCATCCCACTAGGATGAGTTAAGTACAGGGCTGCCCTTACAAGATTTTCCCAAGCCTCAATTTATAAGGGGCAGTGTTAAAGAGCACATTTATGTAATTTATCACTAGGCTGAAAACTTCTGTTAAACTTTTGGGTTATTTTTAACTTATCCTAAATGGAGGACTGTTCTTTTTTATCTTGTTTGGCTGTTATCAACAATCTTGTTTTTGATAAGTTTAAAAAGCCAATATAAAATGAGTTTTGTCAAAAGAGTTTCCTTTAAATAAACTCAGTTGATAACTCAAAGTTTATTAAATCCATGCCTTGGTTGTCATCGACATCCCTTTAAATCTGTACACCTCTCAGGGAATTTGCTCCACAGTTAAAAGAAGCATACATTTTGTGATTATGACTAAGTGTCAATGTTTAAAAAAACTTCATTTTGTTAATGGGTACTACAAAAAAAAAAAAAAATCTAACAAACAGAAATATGCACAGCACACTGTTTAGCTTGACCTAAATATATTTATATAGTGTATAGTTGAAATGTTGTTTTTTTTTTTTTTTTTTTGCAATGTTCCACAAGGTATGAAACAACATTGATAAACTAAATAATCTCTTATTTAAATAACAAAAGGTTTGCACAACATAGAATAAAGTTATTTGCCTCCCTACATAAATCAGTGGGACTCATGCAAAGAATTTCAAAGCAGTATTTTGTTTTCATATAATTTTTTACTTAAATGTATTAAAATGTGTTATATCAATAACCTTTGTAAAACCATAAATTTTATTTTAAGTGCAATTAAAGACATATTAATTTTAGTTCTATTGTGTAAATAAGGTATTTGATAATGTGACATACACCCTCAAAAAAATCCTTTAAGTGGAGCACTTAAAAGTATTCTCTCACCCTTACAATTGGTGGTATGTGTAATCTGGTTCACATGTATGAAAAAATAAGGAACTTCGATTGAAAAAGCCAGAGGGCGAAACGCGTCTCGAAGCGAGGATCAGTCCTAATTCTGGACATTTTATTATTGTTTTTACTT